AATCAGCCAAGCATCGTTACTCTCTATTTGTATTATGTATAAATATAACAAGTACCTAGTAATCTATACAGGTTCAAATTATTCTCCTTCTCGTTGAAAGTAAAAAAATAAGATGGAAATTTATTTTGGTTCATGCATAAAATGTTTCATCAATTTATCTCTTCGTCTACTTTACCAAGATTATTTTCTTTGAATATCGTAGTCCTGCTAAATAGCAATATGACATGCGATTAAGTTTGGTGGTGTAACACATTTATAATTATATTTGTTAGTCTTATAAAATAACAATAAATATATCAACATAAGCCAACCAACAAATAACTGTATGTTTCAAACAAACAGTCGTCGTATTTTAAACCCTAAGATAATGAACTTTATATTTCAAGCAAATCGAACTGAATTTCGGACCTATGTTTCAATTTGACACTATCTTTCCTAAAAGGTTAAAATACTCACCCGATTTTAACAATTAAAATATTTGACACTCGATCGGACGTAAAGCAAGCGACAACGAATAATATTTATTTTGATTTTGGGCAATTAAATAGCTGTGCAAATGAGATCAGTGAGAACAATTCCCATTTTAGGATATATATTTTTTGAAAATGAGGCCACCGATCGCGAAAAGTGATTGATGGGGATGTTCCTGTTTTTAACTGTTGAAACATCAACTATTGTTATGACTAATCATTTATTATTGATTATACTTTTGTAGTGTGTTTAATGGCGATATCCTCTAAAAGTTGCTGTGTCTGTGAACTCCGCCACCTCACCAGACCAGCCATAGTCTGGTGTACAGAATGTGACGAGGGACTATGTACAGAATGTCAGGAACATCATAGTTTGTCTAAGGCCTCAAGAAGGCATAATGTGATGCTTATTACTGAATACCAGACATTACCAACTGATGTACTAAAAATTACTCAATATTGTAGCAAACACGATGAAAAGTTTCAAATATATTGTCAAAAGCATGAAAGTCCCTGCTGCAGCAAGTGTGTTGTAGAAAGCCATAAAGGATGCATGGATATCGTCAATTTAGATGACGTCATTCATAACGTCAAAACCTCCAATTCCTTGTGCGAGATAGAGGAAACATTAGTTGAAGTAGCAGAAAATCTACAGAAAATTCGCCAACATCATCAGAACAATCTGTCGAAATTTAAAGAAAAGAGAAAGGAAATTGAAATAGAAATAAAGAAGACCAGAATAGAAATCAACAACCATCTCGACAAACTACAATGAAACAACTCTATGTGGTAGAAGACAAAGAAAACTCTAAGATTTGCCAGTTACTGTCATCATTAGAAAAGAAAGAAAAGGAAATAGCAGATTGCCAGAGAAATATTATGAACATCAAGAAACACGCAACGGACCTTCAGATGTTCCTTTCAATGAAGCAAATAGAAATAGATGTCTACAGCAACAATACATTTCTACAGTCTCTTGTAGAAGGCGAGGGACAGCATTCTCTTTCATATAAGATCAACACCTCTATCCAGAATATCATGGCCGATATCATAAGTTTTGGAGAAGTGCGTATTGAATCTAAACCTTTCGATATTGTTCTGATCAAGAAGAAGACCAAACAAGCCCAAATGATGGTACCAACCGTTCAATCAAGTCCCTTTGAAAATATCAAGCTAACGATACACAAGACAATCAACACTAAAGACTTCATTTACGGATGCTGCATGCTCCCTGGTGGTAGAATAGCATTTACTTACTACTTTGCACAAACTGTTAAAGTTTTCAGCGATAAAGGATCAACAGACTTTGAGATGAAGATGCCGTGTAGTCCGTTTGATATAATATACATCAGTGAGGACAATACATTGGCTGTAACATCTGGGGTTTCAAAAAAGCATTGCATTACCATTATAGATATCAGGAGGAAACAAATCAAGAAAACAATTTCATTAGATTCGTCCATTGATGGCATAGCACTGAAAAATAATACATTGATTTATTCCAGTAGAGACATAGGTATACGAATGATCAATCTGTACGACGAGTCTATCAGTGACTTAGTCCGAGACGCAATGCCAAGTGAATGCTACACTTCAACCTTTAGGGACAACATATATTATACAAAGAACGTAACAAACACTGTTATTTGTTATAATCTACAAGGTAAAGTACAATGGACATTCCACAACGAAAGTGTTCTGAGGAATCCTCGTGGTATTGATGTAGATAACGATGGTAATGTGTACGTGGCGGGATACAGATCGAACAATGTTGTTGTTATATCCCCTGATGGACAAAGACATAGAGAAGTATGTACAGCCAGAGATGGTCTTATTGATCCTTTCACACTGCATTACAGTGGACCGACGAATCAGCTGCTTGTTGCTAACTTCAACAAGAACAAGTCTTTTTTGTTTAATTGTACTTGAAAAAATAACTGTTTAAACTGCTGTTTATTTAGATCATTATATGAAATGTCTATAGTCAAAAGACAATATTTATTTGCACAAACTTGTTAACAATAAATGTTTAAGACACTGCAGTTATAACAATACAATATTCACAATGATAACATATAATGACGGCGTCACACATTGGTGTATAGACCGACGTGCACCAGACGTACAGAGAAAAAAGTCCGTATACGTTATGTGCACGCATGAGGAACGCTAGGTAATTGTTAAAGTTTAAAGTACGTCGAAATGCAAAGGTTTACGCTTGGTGAACGCTGTAACTCCAGGAAATTTTTAAGTAGCATATAATTTTTCATTACTCCAGCGTTTGTCAATCGTATACCTGTTCGCCACACGCACGTACTACATTCGTTTCAAACGCGTTGAAAAACGCTACAGATAAGTTTGAGACACGTTTAGAGCACGTTGTATACGCATCAAGATCGTTCGACTTTTACTTGGACTTTTACTTGAACGTATGCGGGGCCTGTTTGTAACATTAGCCTGGCGTAGTTTCAGCGATCCGTGGCGTATTAAAAACGTTTTCTGACATTTAATGAAACTTGGTCTGACATTTATAGTGGCATATGTCCGTGAATGTTCAAGACCAAGTGTATCCAGAAGAATTTCAAGCACCCCTGAATTACACGTCCCAGACACGCCGAACGCACGGATAATCGTCCTAGATACGACCGGGACGCGTCTTAAATACGTTCAAGGGACTTTTTTCCTTCGTAGCGGGCATTTCATCTGCGTTAGACAAGACCCCAGACATACGGTAACATCCGTTACTTAAACGTCCTGTAAACGCTTATGTACGCTTCTCGTACGCCCTAAACACAATTAAAGTTCGTTGTGCACACGATACAGATATGATAAACAAGGTGAAGTCGTCCAATGTTACTAGCGTATTGGCAGTGTACATGTTTTTTTACAACGACGGCGTACGTCAATGCTATACGCTGATGTGTGACGCCGGTATAACAACTAATGAATTCACAACAGATACCATTTGTAAAATTTGTACGACAGACGCGCGTTTCGTCTGAAAAAGACTCATTAGTGACGCTCAAATCTGAAGTTCGAAGCAGAAGAGCATTGTATACCCAATTTCCGAAAGATTTTGTTGAATACAGCTAAGGAAATCTATTGTTGGGGTGGAACATCGTTAGTGTTTCTAAAAATTCAATGTTTTGCTAACAGTTCAATTAAAGTATTAGTTTGCATCTGATTCCAATTCTGGATACTGGAAATTTTAAAATTATTGCGATGTCTCTATTATTACAAAAATGCAATAGGGTCGTAATCGCAATACTTTATGTGACATTTTGGATTTTCTTATATGATCGAAGAAGGATTTTTCTCGGTATCACGCAAATGATAATCGCGTTTTGGTCTAAAATGACAAAATCGCAATAATAAATGCACGCAATAATTTCCGAATTACAGTATATGTATCTTATACCATCAAATGATGTATTGAACAGTGTTATCAATTTTTGAAAATTCGAGAACCCATAAAGTTTATTTGTACTCGCTATAAAACTCTAATTTATATCTTTGATTTCTTAAGCTCATTCATATTTGATGACAACGTATGTAAACTAAACAATAAAGACCTCCAAATTCGGGCATTTTCCCGTACATTTACTGAAGAATACAGTCGACCTTCACATTCGGGAATTTGTCGACAAACGTCAACCACTACATTGCAAACGATTGGTATGGGACAAGAACATTAATATGATGTATGGCTGATATTACATAAGGTAATGTGGTTTCATTGTCAATGAGACATCGGTCAATCATAAGCCAAATGCTGTGATGTATTGCCTTCAGCAATGAGCTTGCAATCTCTTTGTTGACGTTTGTTGCAACACACATCGTTTCTTGTTTTTTTTTAAAGATTGGAACTTGTTCTAAATCTTTCTAAAGGCATCGGCCTCTCTAGCTAACAATAGTAATTAAGGACAGGCTAACTACTAGATATATATATATACACACTGAAATATAGTTCCCTATAATTCTCTTGTCTGTGCACACATGAACATATACTGTGAAAAAATTGAGTATATTTTTGAAGCAGTTCATTCAAGTATGTATTCCTTTAAGTAATGTTGATGTGCCGGCTTGCACATTTTTTTCATACACTTTTCAAATTTATTTCTTTATATTTTATGCATGAAAGTAAGGGGATGAAATTACATGTTAAAAAAATTTGGGTGCTGAATCTTTATGTTAAGTAGTGATTTGGTCCAGTTAAAAAAGGTCAAAATCTAGTATGTCTGAAGCTGTCAAACTGAATTTTAGACCCCCTTAACATAGAATTGTCAATATTTTGAGTTAGAGCTGGTAGACTTTTCTATAATTTTGATATTATTTGTCGCAATAGTAGTACACTACACTGTAAAAATCTTTTTGGGATAGAGCAGGTGCGATTTTTTTAATTTGACTTTATTGTCTAAAAGAAAAGCACTACGAAATAACTGTGTTCTCGGGCCATATATTATATGTTTGATATATAAGGATGATAGATTTATTCATTGCCTATTACTTTTGATCTAGTTACATAAATATGTATAAGAGATAAATGATTATAATTCAGGATTAACAAGATCTTTTTCAAAAAGAAAATATCAAATCTAAATATCAATACATAAAAGGTGTTCAAGTAATATAATATACAGGCATATGATATACTTGATAAATCTGCAATAATCATCTGTTATTAATCGACAATTTAGAAGAGGGACGAAAGATACCAGAGGGACAGTCAAACTCATAGATCGAAAACAAACTGACAACGCCATGGCCAAAAATAAAAAGACAAACAGACAAATAATAGTACAGATGACACAACATAGAAAACTAAAGACTAGGCAACACGAACCCCACCAAAAACTGGGGATGATCTCAGGTGCTCCGGAAGGGTAAGCAGATCCTGCTCCACATGTGGCACCCGTCGTGTTGCTTATGTTATTACAAATCCGGTAAATAGTCTAATTCGGTAGGTCACATTCGTGAAAAGGGAAGGGTATTGTAGCTACGACATAAGGAACATATCCGATATCATCTGTGAAACGGTTATTTCATAAAGGTCAACCAACTCGTGATGGCGTCCGTAAAATTTACGAAGGGATGATTTCAACTTCACCATTTGGAACTCTTGGTTTAATAGCTTCCTTGTGAGCAGCAATCCTCTATCAAGGAAATTATGATAGAAAATACAAGCCCGGGAATATCTTATCAATTGGGAGATATATACTCCGTATGCAGGCGCTGCTGGAATGTTGTTACATAGAAATGGAAAGTTCACAATCGGGAAGCTGAAATCATCTCTTTTAGGTTAGGTCGATTATTTTTTATATCAGTGATTGGCTTGAAACAGTTAGTATAATTTTATAACTTTTAATTAGAACAAACCAATTCTAATTTAGTTAATTCACATCAAAATGTCTGTTAACAATTTCATCATTTGAATATATAAAGTAAGTATATATATATATTTGCAATCAAGTAAGAATCCACATTTGAATGAAATAAGTTTTTTAATTTGTTTATGTTGAAATAGTACAATTTCAATGCCCTTTGCTGAAAAACAGGGAACATTATTTGGTTAAGATATAAACTGCAATTTAAATGAATTGTTGTGTAAATTAAGCGACCCCCCTTTTATTCCATTTGATGCATATTTAGATCATTTGACCTACTGGAAATGTGCTTTTCCTTCTTAAGACCTGCAGTGAATGCAATTGTCAGCAATAGTGCTTTATTAATATACTTTTTTGTCCACACCATACCTAAATAGGGAATTATGCAAACCACTCTTCAAATCTTCCCTTGAGGGATTTCCATCAATTTGATTTTATATAGATTAGACCGTTGGTTTTCCAGTTTGAACGATTTTACACTAGTCATTATTTTATGTCCTTCATAGCTTGTTGTTCGGTATGAGTCAATGCTCCATGTTAAAGACCGTACTATGACCTATAATGGTTTACTTTTACAAATTGTGACTTGGATGGAGAGTTGTCTCATTTGCATCATATCACATCTTCTTATATCTCTTGTTATTATTCTAAAACAGGTTTTTTGAACACGTGTAGTTCATTTGTTCTTTTATGACCTTATTTACTACTAATTGGTCTTAAATCATGTTTATTTAAAGCATCATAGTACCATACCGTATAGGGTTTTACTTATCTTTGAAAATTGAACAGACTGAATATAACAATGTTTTGGTGAATGCAAAACATAGAGATTACTACCCGGTGGCAGAGGAGGCAGCGGCGTAAAGTATTGTTGCAGGCTACACATTTCAGAGTCAGCACTTTGTTTTCATTTTAGATGTTACAACATATACAGTACTGATGGTGTAAGAAACCTAAAATAGAGTGTCTGGAATTATTGAATCTATTGGTATACGGGGCGAAACATTGGAAATGCGCGGTCAATTTGGCATTTGCCCCTGTTTCTCAACCTCATGAATTTCATATTTGAAGAAACTATACATATATTGTTTGATTATAGCGAGTAACTCCTATATATAATGGTGATGACCACGAATGACTGTTTAACGTCCAGTGGCAAGCAAAATTCTTACTCAGGACGAAAACATGTTAATTCGATATGAATATGAACACCACACCCGAAAAACAAAATTCTAAATCAAGGACAACAAGTCTTTGGTTTTACTCTTTAATGCCGGGTGCTTCGCGGCAAATACCAATTTCCTAGTTTGTTTTAAATCGTTCGGGTGTCGAGGCAAGCACGCTACCAATAGACCATCGAGGTTATAACTACTGTGTTGGGACTATCCACAAATTCAGTTATGTTATACTTCTCGGTGATCGTATTTGTTGTTCGTGGTATCTTTGTATCTCTTATACAAATAATTTTCAGGATAATAGGGAAAAAAACTAAAAATAAGACACCCCAAAAACCCGAAAACTATATTTTTTTTAATGAAAAAGGACAGAAGAAGCAATAGTTGTACTTTTGTAGAAATTATATAATAGATAGATATAAGAAGATGTGGCATGAGTGCCAATGAGACAACTCTCCATCCAAGTCACAA